ATCCGAATTCGAGAAATAGAGTCCTGATAATAATAATTGTCGAAGAAGCTTATTAGATTGTCCATTCATCAAAAAACCTAATCATTCGAAGCCATTTCGACTGCATAAAATAGTGACTTCTATTCAGTTACATCATTTCTATCTCCTAATATAGTATTCTTCTGCTATTCAACACAGTAACATATAGTTTTAAACACCGAAACAATGCCATTGGTACCCGTCACTGCATGATCTCATATAGTATAAAGTTGATTACGATCGGCTTCACGCGATAGTAATCGTCTTGAAATGGTGGTTGATTAGACACAGACAATTGATCACTTTCATAGATTTTCTAGGATATTTTTAGTGGACAGGCAATTGGCAATAATCATTCTTTCAACGAGTTAACGATGGCGTGATCAAGAGCAATTCAACGAGACAATTGGATATCAATGGGCAAGGCGGTCGTAATTCAGCTAAGAAATGTCAGATCATCATTGAACGGACAAATTTCATCTGGTCTCGTTGGAATGGTCAAACTATTTAACTAGAAAAAATACACTAACTAAAGAAATATTTCTAATTCGGAAAAGGTAATAGATGTTTTTTGAGTTTGAGAATGGTCATTTCGATGTCATTGTTATTTGTTGGTTTCATCGTCAAAGGGTGGTGGCAAACGTGTTCTCATGGGCAGCTCGACACATTACTTTCTTATATACATGTTGGTGGGAAGCGATTATCAATTAATGATTGATCACAATGGATAAAGAAATTTCGATATTCAATGAAGGAAACGAAAGTGCAGAATATCTACAGATAACCACTCACACCCAACATCAGCATCACGATGAAGACTACGATGCGCTTTATTGAAAGCTTTCTGATCACATGTTTTCAAATTTCATTTCAAAATTATTAGTAGACGAGCCTTTGTTTTACTTCAAAAATATTTTTATTTAAGAGTTATTTAAAAACTATTTGAACTACAAAAAAAAAATATATACGAGCTCAAAACATGATTAAACAATATAAGCTTTAGAGTGCAGAATTAATTTTGTCAAAAGTAAATATAAAGTACATTAAATTGTTCTTTTTAAGAAATATTTTTTAGATTAGAAATAAATCGTTCAACGAGCTTTGATGATATTGATTCGATCAAGTTCGACTAAATCCGAAGTTCGATAAAAACTAAATGTGGCTTGACGAGCATTCACAAGTGTAAGAACACCAAAGCCGGGATCAGTAATAATACGACAAGAGTCGCTTGATCTCTTGAAAACATGGTCGTTGCCTTCGGGATTGCCAATAGCACCATTAGTGATATAGATGGGACCATTTGGATTGATATAGTCAGCTGTCTTCTTTCCACCTACAAAGATTGAAGACAAACAATTTTTTGTAGTTAATTATCAGATTGTTTACGACTACATCTAATCATTAAACAAACTTACATCCATTCTTATGAGTAGTTTTCTATATGTAAAGCAACAAAATTATTAGTTTTTGGAATCTTTTGGTTTGTACTACTATTCTCTGCTACTACCTTTTTTTTTATGAATGTCTCTTTTATTCCTGCTTCGCAATGACTAAACGCTTCGGAAAAAAAGTAATTATACATACCATTTGGACAAATGCGTTCATACCAGTGCATATGGCCAGCAAAGTAGATATCCACTTTGTATTTGATCAAAATAGCCTCAAAAGCTGCCTTACATTGGGGACAGTTGATGAATTTACCATCCGATAGACCTTCAATTGCTATGGATCCTTTCCATGGTCGATGACATTGAACAATGACCCACGGAGTGATGGAACGATTCACAGCAGCTAAATCATTTTTTAGCCAATTCACTTGAGTTTTAGTGTCAAGAAGATTACCAGAAGGAGCATTTGGAAAATCTGATTCGCATGAGAGTGAAACCACATGAACAAAACCATAATTAAATGAATACCATGCGTTCAAGTATCCACCGGACTGCTTACTAGGCATATTGAATCGATTACTGTAAGGAAATTGATTCCTATAATTCTTTGGACATGCATCTCTAAGAAATGGAATCTGCGTACAGTTTATCTCATGGTTACCAACAGCTGTCATATAGTAACGCTTACTGGTTATATTCATCATTGCCATTTGACAATAATCCATAGCCTGGTCGTAGGTTTTTCCAAGTACAAGTAGAGGAGTATCATCTGCATAACAAATATCACCATGATGCAAAACAAAATCAATCGATGGTAACATTTTCTGCAAAGCTATTACTGCTCGCTCAAAAAGACAGACACCATTAATCAAAGATCCTAGTAGACCATCAACACCCATATCACCATAGGCAGCAATCTTCACTGGTCGACTTCGATCACCGAGAGCTGGTGGTGATGTAAAAGAGAGAATGTCTGATGCTAATCCATCGTTCATTGCAACAATTCGATAGTAGTAGAGGGTACGTGGTCGAAGATTTTGAAGTTCAACACCGTAGAACCAAGATGTTCTCGTAAAAATATTTTTTGTGTTATAGGTACTTGATTTTCCGTTGGTTGAATTGGAAGTGAGTGCTGCAGGCGAAAGACCATACTTGACCCTTGGAGTAGGATTTGGATTTTTAGTACTGAATGGGCAAGCATACGAATGCCAACCAACATTCACACTATTTTTACTAGCAATAGCCAAACGAATTTGATCTGGCTTTTGTTTTTGCAGACAAATACCGGCAATAGTTGCTTTTACAATTATGAATAGGTGAAAGAGGAGAAATGTATACATATCTATCGTTGATTAGAAAATAAATGACGCTATTACCGGGCGTTAACATCATTATAAGTTGAATATCGTAGGTGGGATGAAAGAAATCGCTCAAGCGTTACTAGCGTCATCGAAGGAAAAAATTTGACGATATTATAGTGCATTTGATAATCATGGATATAATATTGATTCATATGTGTATGATACAAAGGCTATTGCAATGAAAATTCGAAGTCGGTAGATGTCAATGTCTTACTGTATATCATCAATTGACATTTACCAAATGTTCATCAGCGACATTAGCTCAATACATTAAAACAAACGACGAAAAACATACGTGAAATGTAGTCATTGACAACATGAGACTAAGTATTTCTTATAGATTTGTCTTATATGAAATCTTTTTACAGAATTTCGACAAACTCAACTGTCGAAGTTCTGTCAGAAAAAATTATCGTTATTGAGTCGACTTCGATATTGGACAATGATAATTCATTCTTTACGATTGAAGGAGGTTGTAGACATCGTTCATGTAAAAGGACTCTCTTCGTTTTCTTTTTTGATTTGAAAATATTTGTATTTAATATTTCGATCAATGAAATTGATTTTCTTGATAAGATACAAACACTTATGATAAAATTATGAAGCACAAGGATGATTAACACAGTCCACGTAAATTGAAAGTGTACCCTTTGAGTTTTTGTGTTTTCATTGTCATAACTTGTTTGTTTTTAAACTTATTATATATAGGGAGAAAGCCCAGAACTTGCTGCATCTTTTGGTATATTTACTTTGAACATCAAATGCAGTTTAAAATGTAAAAAGTGTATTGGAGGAAAAAGGACATTTTTTTTCTTTTGCAAAACTGGGTGTCCACAATGTTGTAATATTTTTTTATTTGGCACATATTTAGGCTTAGATAAATGATAAAGCGTTGAATTTTTTTCAAAAGATGCGTCGTGAAAAGCTCTACAAAAGCTGTATGATTGAATCCGTTTTACCTGTTCTGAAATTTTTTTTATACTCAAAATGAACACCTTATAAGTAGCAGTATTACTTACCATCATATAGAAAATCTTTCGAGAACTTTTCTGATTCGCTATAGGATTTGATCTATACAAGTTTTGTAGAGCTTTCAACGGTGCATCTTTTAAAAGCAAATTCGATATTCCATCATTTTCTCAAGTCGAGATATATGCAGAACAAAAAGGTCTTCCAACATTTTCAGTATGATCAGAATTGACACTGCTATAATAGTTGTTCATTTTGAATACAAGAAAAACCATTAAAACAAGTAAAAAGGAATTCAATCATACAGCTTTTATAGAGCTTTTCACAGCGAATCTTTTGAAAAAATTCAACACTTTGTCATTTATCTAAGCCGAAATATGTGCCAAATAAAAAAATATTACAACACTACTGACACCTAGTTTTGCAAAAGAAAAAAAGATGTCCTTTTTCTTCCAATACACTTTTTACATTTTAAACTGCATTTGATGTTCAAAGTAAATATACCAAAAGATGCAGCAAGTTCTGGGCTTTCTCCCTATATATAATAAGTTTAAAAACAAACAAGTTATGACAATGAAAACACAAAAACTCAAAGGGTACACTTTCAATTTACGTGGACTGTGTTAATCATCCTTGTGCTTCATAATTTTATCATAAGTGTTTGTATCTTATCAAGAAAATCAATTTCATTGATCGAAATATTAAATACAAATATTTTCAAATCAAAAAAGAAAACGAAGAGAGTCCTTTTACATGAACGATGTCTACAACCTCCTTCAATCGTAAAGAATGAATTATCATTGTCCAATATCGAAGTCGACTCAATAACGATAATTTTTTCTTACAGAACTTCGACAGTTGAGTTTGTCGAAATTCTGTAAAAAGATTTCATATAAGACAAATCTATAAGAAATACTTAGTCTCATAATGTCAATGACTACATTTCACGTATGTTTTTCGTCGTTTGTTTTAATGTATTGAGCTAATGTCGCTGATGAACATTTGGTAAATGTCAATTGATGATATACAGTAAGACATTGACATCTACCGACTTCGAATTTTCATTGGGAGAATCTTTGTATCATACACATATGAATCAATATTATATCCATGATTATCAAATGCACTATAATATCGTCAAATTTTTCCCTTCAATGATGTTAGTAACGCTTGAGTGACTTCTTTCATCCCACCTACGATATTCAACTTATAATGATGTTAACGCCCGGTAATAGCGTCATTTATTTTCTAATCAACGATAGATATGTATACATTTCTCCTCTTTTACCTATTCATAATTGTAAAAGCAACTATTGCCGGTATTTGTCTGCAAAAACAAAAGCCAGATCAAATTCGTTTGGCTATTGCTGGTATAAATAGTGTGAATGTTGGTTGGCATTCGTATGCTTGCCCATTCATTGATGACAATCCCAATCCTACTCCAAAGGTCAAGTATGGTCTTTCGCCTGCAGCACTCACTTCCAATTCAGTCAACGGAAAACCAAGTACCTATAACACAAAAAATTTTTTTACGAGAACATCTTGGTTCTACGGTGTTGAACTTCAAGATCTTCAACCACGTACCCTTTACTACTATCAAATTGTTGCAATGAACAATGGATTAGCGTCAGACATTTTCTCTTTTACATCACCACCAGCTCTCGGTGATCGAAGTCAACCAGTGAAGATTGCTGCCTATGGTGATATGGGTGTTGATGGTCTACTAGGAACTTTAATCAATGGTGTCTGTCTTTTTGAGCGAGCAGTAATAGCTTTGCAGAAAATGTTACCATCGATTGATTTTTTCTTGCATCATGGTGATATTGGTTATGCCGATACCACTCCTCTACTTGTACTTGGAAAAACCTACGACCAGGCTATGGATGAGTATCAAATGGGAATGATGAATATAACCAGTAAACGTTACTATATGACAGCTGTTTTGATATATTCCAAAATAACGAATAAGTCATGGTGAAATATTATACTGAAGAACTTCTTTGAGGATATCAAAATATTTGAACTGCTCTTTGGTAACCACGAGATAAACTGCACCCAGATTCCATTTCTTAGAGATGCATGTCCAAAGAATTACATGAATCAATATCCTTACAGTAATCGATTCAATATGCCTAGTAAGCAGTCTGGAGGATACTGGAACGCATGGTATTCATTTAAGTATGGTTTTGTTCATGTGGTTTCACTCTCATGCGAATCAGATTTTCCAAATGCTCCTTCTGGTAATCTTCTTGACACTGAAACTCAAGTAAATTGGCTAAAAAATGATTTAGCTGCTGTAAATCGTTCTATCACTCCGTGGATCATTGTTCAATGTCATCGACCATGGAAAGGATCGATACCAATTCAAACTATATTTTCAGGTGGAATCATCAACTGTCCCCAATGTAAGGCAGCTTTTGAGGCTATTTTGATTCAATACAAAGTGGATATCTACTTTGCTGGCCATGTACACTGGTTTGAACGCATTTGTCCAAATGGTATGTATAAATTTTTTTTCCGAAACTGACTCATTGTGGCGTAGGAATAAAAGAAACACTCATAAAAAGGTAGTAGCAGAAAGTAGTAATATAAGCCAAAAGGTTCCAAAACTTGATAGTTTGTTGCTTTCCATATAGAAAACTATTCATGAGAATAGATGTAAGTTTGTTTAATGATTAGATGTAGTCGTAAACAATCTGATAACTAACTACAAAAAATTGTTTGTCCTCAATCTTTGTAGGTGGAATGAAGACAGCTGACTATATCAATCCAGATGGTCCCATCTATATCACTAATGGTGCTATCGGCAATCCCGAAGGCAACGAACATGTTTTCCAGAAATCAAGCGACTCTTGCTGTCTCATTACTGATCCCGGCTTTGGTGTTCTTACACTTGTAAATGCTAGTCATGCCACATTTAGTTTTTATCGAACTTCGGATTTAGTCGAACTTGATCGAATCAATATCATCAAAGCTCATTGAACGATTTATTTCTAATATAAAAAATATTTCTTAAAAAGAACAATTCAATGTACTTTATATTTACTTTTGACAAAATTAATTCTGCACTCTAAAGCTTATATTGTTTAATCATGTTTTGAGCTCGTATATATATTTTTTTTGTAGTTCAAATAGTTTTTAAATAATTCTTAAATAAAAACATTTTTGAAGTAAAATAGAGGCTCATCTACTTATAATTTTGGAATGACATTTGAAAACATGTGATCAGAAAGCTTTGCATGAAGTGCATGATACCGTGTGAACCTAAAAATTAAAAAAACTTTCATTTAAATGGTTATATTTTTAAATTTTCATGCAAAAATTTCGTTTAAATGGTTAATTTCGAAATTTACGTATGAAAAATTTCATGTTTTTAGTTATTTCAGAAACATCAAGGTAACTGGATTATTTTCGTTATGTTGACATCATTCTCATTGCATGAATCCAGTTGTCTTGCAAAAAATTAAACGAACGACATTGGTTTCATTAGTTTAGCATCATTTTCATTACGTGACTTTAGTTATTTTCAAAGACTAGAATCATTACACTAGTTTTCAGTTTTTCTACACCATTTTCATTGTATAATTCTCATACTTTTGAGAAACTGAAATTATCACATTAGTTTTACTAATTTTGTACCGTTTTTCATTACATAATTTTGATTTTTCGGGGATAACTAAAATCATTGCATGACTTTCATTACTTTTGCATCGCTTTCGTCACATGATTTTGATTATTTTGCAAAATATATATCAGTAGATTGATTTCATTACTTTTACATGTGAAACATTGAGTTTCAATCGTATTTCAAATGATTAAAACGTTTTAAAACTTTTTCAAAGAAAAAGAGTTTTAATGAACGACTTTCATATGAAAAACATCATGTGTCATAATTTTTTTTGAAAATAAATGATGAAAATGATTAATTTGAACTTTATCTGCAAATTTTTCATTACACATGCCACTATCTTAATAAATGAAACGTGTTAGGACAGAGACTGTGTCATGCCCTGCTTTTTCTTAAGTTTGAGAAGTATTTTTAATACCTTATGTACTTTGCCACATAATATGACGGTAGAGTAAAATAAACTTTTGAAAAGTTCATCGCAGAGCCGCTCGAAGGGCAACCAGCCCAGACTTGTAAGGTGCAAGCAATTCAAACTTCAAGTAAATTTTTTGTTTTAGCTTTTTTACACATCATCTGATAGAACTCAAGCGGCTGATCACGAATATCAGGTCCTTATTTTTAGTGAAGGCTTTCTTTTGGTTGAAAAATCCGAAATATTCGAAAACTGCTATTTTCATCAAAAACAGGTGTTTACCTCAGAAATGTGCAAAATTTTTCATTTCTTTCTTTTTTTGAGCGTCTGAAGATTTGTTTTTTGCAGATTCAGCCTCAAAAACTGAGTCTAGAAAAGTTGTTAAATAGATTCCAGATATAAAACTCTACTGGTGATGATGCTTCGAATTGGATCGAGTATGATGTGTATAGGTCGATTTTGTAAACCTATCTAGTTTTTTCACGTAAACGATAGAAACGATTATTTTATTTCATTCTGTTCACCATACCACTGGCTACAAAATTACACATCGTTTTTTTTTAATTTTCTTTCCTTCGTCGAGAAAAGACGTTTTTACTGTATGTTACTGTATGATACTGGAAATGGGGAGGTCATTTTTGTATAACATGTTTGTTTCTCATCCAAACTAAGTAAAAATTTGCTCACATAGATAAAAACTGATGGAGAATCCAATGCATATAGTTTCGAGGTTTGTATGAGGTCTTTAGAGGATCTCTGGAAAATCTTTTCCTGAAAACATATATTTTTTTGATATTAATTGATAATGATATTTAATGAACAGACTGGTCATTTCATTCATGCTTGGCTATATAATTTGAATAAGAATATGCAGGATAAAAGTACCAAGATATTTTAGAAATGCGTTTATTAATGTTGGTTTATGTTTTTATTTGATATTCTGCGATAGGATTGGACTGATTGTTTGCAGAGTTGGCTGAAAAACAGTTTTAATACGTCAGCAAAATACTTAGATATTTCGAGCCACATTTGGACTTACATATTTCAGCAAAATCGGCAATGTCGCTTACCAAAAGCTTTTCACTAAAGTTTAATTCTTTATCATCAGTACACATGTGATATTCATCATCTATCAGTTCGCTCTCATCCGAATCATCAACGTCTGACGGGTCATTTGCGCCTAAAACATCAACGTTTGACGACTCGTTTGCGTCTGAAATATCTATGTTTGACGGGTCGTTTATATCCGAATTATCTACGTTTGATGGATCACTTGCATCCGAGATCTTTGTTGTTGACTGACGACGAGTTCTTGCATTATGTAATTGGCTGCTTCTTTTATTTCCCTTAGGCATACCAAACTAACTTAGTTCAAATTCAAACGGAATTATCTTCAAAAAATGCACATAGTATCACCAATTTTACTTATAGTATAATTTATAGGAAAAGATTTTCCAGAGACCCTCTAAAGACCTCATACAAACCTCGAAACTATATGCATTGGATTCTCCATCAGTTTTTACCTATGTGAGCAAATTTTTACTCAGTTTGGATGAGAAACAAACATGTTATACAAAAATGACCTCCCCATTTCCAGTATCATACAGTGACATACAGTAAAAACGTCTTTTCTCGACGAAGGAAAGAAAATAAAAAAAAATGACGTGTAATTTTGTAGCCAGTGGTATGGTGAACAGAATGAGATAAAATAATCGTTTCTATCGTTTATGTGGAAAAACTAGATAGGTTTACAAAATCGACCTATACACATCATACTCTGTCCAATTCGAAGCACCATCACCAGTAGAGTTTTATGTCTGGAATCTATTTAACAACTTTTCTAGACTCAGTTTTTGCGGCTGAATCTGCAAAAAAATCTTCAGACGCTCAAAAAAAGAAAGAAATGAAAAATTTTGCACATTTCTGAGGTAAACACCTGTTTTTGATGAAAATAGCAGTTTTCGAATATTTCGGATTTTTTGAACCAGAAGAAAGCCTTCACTGAAAATAAGGACCTGATATTCGTGATCAGCCGCTTGAGTTCTATCAGATGATGTGTAAAAAAGCCAAAACAAAAATTTTTACTTGAATTTTGCTTTGCGGGTACCTTATAAAAGTCTGGGTACAACAACCAATTCAAGTGAGTTGTTAAATCAAATGGAATAAAAGTTATTTCTAATTTTCATCTTTTTCATAACGAGATTTTTGTGCATTTTAGTAATTTTCATTGCATGTATTTCATACAAAATTAATCATTTTCATGGCTCAAAATGCTAATTTTCATCATTGAATTTTAAAAAGCATCAAAAATAATGTCCGCTTCATCATTAAAAATGGCATTTTTTTACGACGTTTCATCATTTTTCATGAAAAAAATGGCATAAAAATGATGGAGATTACATTATTTTTTTGCCATTTTTTTCTCATTGAATAGTCTTTATTGTGATAGTAATGTTGGGCGCGTAGCATGGCATCTCCGCGCCAATATTTTCATGCAAGACAGTTCTGCTCACGACACTTCAGCGCAGCAATATTTCTACGCGCGACACTTACGTACTAAATGAAATTTTCTGTTTTCTCCGTGTTAGGTTAATGCATCTTCTGAAATTCCATTAATAGATCTGTGAGTCTGGGCTCCAGCGCAGAGTGTGTGTTGGTGTGGGTGTGTGCTTCTATATGGATTCGGGATTCGAGATTCGGATGTAATTTTTGGAGTGGATTTGAATATAGGAATGTGGTTGTTGGTATAAGGATTCCAGTTGCCTTCGTTCTATTCCAATACTCACGCCAAAACTCTGCAACCGCACCAACAGAACAATTAATAAAATTTTAGAAGATGTATTAACTTAACATAGGGAAAAACAGAAAACTTCGTTCAGCGCGTAAGTGTCTCGCGCGGTGGTACCGTGCGCGGAACTGTCGATGAATCATTGGGCGTGATGGATTATCTATAGATATTCTGCATTGTCGTTTCCTTTATTGAATGTCAAAATTTCTTTGTTTAGTATGGTCAATCATTAATCCATAACCATTCGTCACTCACATAAGTTTTTTTCTTCATATGATTCATACATTTTGATTAGATATCCAAGGCATTGTTCATCAAAACATGTATTAGATGATGTTGAAGTATTCGATAATCACCTATCGCTAATGCCATCCAAGTGTGATAGCTGGAGAAGACTTTTATCTTGTCTTGGTGCAATACTTTCAACAATATTCGACGCTAAAATATTATAATGTTTCGTACGAAAAAAAGTGAGATCTTATAAACAAAAGAGTTATCTGCGGCAGAAACAGCTCGTCAAAGTGTGGCAGTTAAAGGTCAAATAGCGTCTGGTGATTGTCTTTCCAATGGAAACTTCGTTTGACTTTCCAAAGAACTAAGTTCTAATAACAAGAGTGATGTATTTGTATTATCGAGTTCACGACGCTTCTCGATTGCGATTTGATCAACATGAATTCTGGACAAGGTGTTTCGATTCATCAGCTACCGATTTTTATACTTGTATTGTTGAATAGATTTCTATGTGATGCGTTCCATAAAAACAACTACCATATGGACATTGTATTAGATATCGAATTAAATGCAACTGTGCAACATGATTGCATGACGATGATTTATTTTTTCTTTATTTTTACGATATTCAACATTTTGTGTCATCTTGCTAAATTTCACAAAAAGTGCAAAATGTTTTCGATGGTATACGTCTTTTTTCTCATGTTGTTTCATTTACAGACATGGTAGAAACAATAAATTATATACAATCTGGAAGAGCAGAATAAGCTCTATCTTTTGGTAAAAATAGTATTGTTTCAGTCCCGTTCTATCGAAGAAAAATATGGATCAATATTTTGTGCCATTACTTTTGCATCGTACGTTAATTTCTAACAATTCATTGATTTCAGTTCTCTCTTTTTCTCAATTATCAAAGATAATTT